GCAGAAACAAACATCGATCATCTAAATCCCTTTCTTAGAAACGACCATTCTACAACGTGGTCCTAAACGTATACACTCACCTCATCCCTAGCATTCTCTTTTGTTCTTTGAACTGACACTTGTGCAATCCGGAGTCAAAGACTCCTTCTTTTTTCAAGTCTAAATTTCACCTGAACAATAAAAAAGAAACTTTTTCAATGTGTTCAGATTTGGAGCGATTTCCCGAAAAAAAGTCAACTGTTTTAGTTAAAGGGCCTGTTACAGGGTGCAAAAGGGTGTGGTTGGCGTCAGGAAGGGTACAGGATATCATGGAGGGTTTGGCACCATTCACTATACATTGGTCATAGTTGTTAACAGTAGGGCCACCCTCAGCCAACAAGGGCTTGCGTGGTTAAAATCCTCTCGTTTATTGGTCGTGAAAAGCTCAGTTTAGGGCTCAGCCTCGCTGCATGGTTGAGTATTATAGCGGGCAACAGGAGGATCAAGTACAGGCTCCACCAGGCTTCCGGCATCTAAGCCATGGGTCTGGGGCCCACGAGAGCTATAGCATGGCGGTCAAGACTCGGTCAACGGTCGCCTCGGGCTTTGAATCACGTTAGATGTAAAAGTGCTTATAACTGTATGATTGGTGTTGTGAGTCTCTATTATCAATGAAATAACATAGCTGCGACAGGGCCTAATGCAATTTTTCTTTTTTCCACTAACTTACAATATGAAAGATTCGTTAATTATTTTGAAACACACGCATTTTGTTGTTAACAAGTATTATACCCGGTAATGTATTATCATTTTTCTAATCATAAATTTTGAACCCCAAAGCGATCATCACATGTGCAACTGGAATATTGTATTATTTTCCCTTTTACAGAGCTTGCCGGGAGAAAAAAAATCTAAGCCATTCTCTGGTTGAACCACGTATTATAAAAAAAACGACCTCCCTAACATTTTAAAAATCAACGCTTCCTTCAGTTTTCTTATGTAGTGGTCATTTTCAACTTTTGCCCAACCGTCCCTATTTTCGCATGCACCCTGTAATACGGACGTCACGCAAGCCTGAAGTGTTTTCGATTTGAAAACTCACTTGATTTAAACGTCACGTCGTATTCCATTGACAGTAATTTTTAGTGTTCGGGATTCAACTTTTTCTTTCCAAACAATTTTTTGCCAATCATTCTGCACATGTCGAGTAGCAAGTCAGATCCGGCTCAGGCCATATTTTTGGTCTGCCGATACGAGCGGAAGATTCTCAGATTACATCCAAGCTCGCAGGGGCCCCTGAAGGCTGGATATAGCGCGCGATGACTTGGCGTACTCGAAGGGTGAGGACAGGTAGGTATCACGTGTCAGCCCAACTTTGGACTGATGTGCGGTACTCAAGAAAAATACCCTTGTTGTGGAATGAGCAGAACTTACATGTTCTTGGAGGAAAGACGGAATAAAAGTCAAGACGTGGACATACTGAAACAAACACCGAGAAGATTCACAGTCCATTCCACACCTTTGGCAAAGTATTAAACCAAAAAGCAAAAATTCTGACGTCTGATATTCTTCAAGCACCTACTACCAACCTTGCACCAATAAGACTCTGTACTAATGACGTCACACTTTGTTTACGTGTGTGCTTTCCTATGGTGCTCAGTGGACCGTGGGCCCCCACTGGCTCCATAGGAAAGTGCAAATGTAAACAGTGTCGTCATTAGTACAAAGGCTCATTCCCACCAAGACAAAACGGGAACGCCATGATCGTACGCTGCATCTAAGAGAAAGTCCTCGCTCAGTGGCAATGATAATGAAATATTACAAAAGACTCAGACCTCCACCAATGCTGTCTACGGAGAATTCTACACACCCAGTGGCCTGAAAACCCAGAGAACGGGAGTTGTGTAGTACGGCAGATGAGATGGGATTGTGCCTTTGATGATACAAGCATGGAATTTGGCACACGGTCAGAGTATGTCATGAGAAAAATATATTCGGCAATAGGGCCATCGCAGATTTGTCCTTTGAAAAAAATGTAGGTAGAATAACAAGTAATTTTCAAAATTTTCAAAATGGCTGCAATTGCTGGTTATTCTACCTATATTTGTTCAAAGGAAAAATCTAGCCAATTATCTTTCTTAAGACATACTCTCACTGTGTGCCAAATGCAATGCTTGTACATACTCATGTATCACCAAAGCCACGATTCCCCCAAATATTTCCCCTATACATGTAAACTGCCTTTCTAGTGTATGGGGACGTTCTCCGACAAGATGAAAACGTTAACAGCATATGAACTATAGACCAATCTGGGCACGCTATGCATTTCTATCACGGAGGCCCCCTTCAATGGCACAGACATTGTGCTAGCTATTGTTCAGAAAATCCGTCATGGGGCAGTTTGTACAACAGCGTGCACAGTGGTTTCTCCATATAAGGGCTGGGGGGGGGGGATCACTATAACAGTGATCACGTGCCTGGATTCGTCCACATAATATGCATATAAGGCGAGTAAAAACAAACGAAACCCAAATGGCAGGACCCATTTTTGAATGAAGTTTTGCCGTAGCACTTTCAACATCTAGGATATGAAAGCTCAATCAATGAGCTTTGTTTTAGTACAAGAATCATTCAAATCACTTATGGATACTCACGGAATTTTGAAAACAAACACCGTTTTAAAGTTCTGTCCACGGGTCACAAAAAAATACAAGTGTTCTTTCAGCAAAACGAAAACAATTCACATGCACCCCTCCGAGACTTGTTTTCGTTTTACTGGAAGAACACTTACTTTTTTTGTGATCCGTGGACAGAACTTTAAAACGGTGTAAAGCCCGGTTCATACTTCATGCGAATGCGAATGCGAAGCGAATTTGACGTCATGAAACATTCGCTGCGAAATTCGCCCGAGATGAAGTGTGTTCAACTTTTGCGAATTCGCAGCGCGAATACTTACCATGACGTCACAGATTCGCGTTCGCTTTCGCTTTCGCGCCGAGTATGAACCGGGCTTTAGTGTTCAAAATTCCGTAACTTGAAAAGTACATGAGTGATTTGAATTATTCTTGTACAAGAATGCTCAATGACTAGGCTTTCATATCCTAGATGTTGAAAGTGCTACAGGCAAAAACTTCATTCAAAAATTGGTCCTGCCATTTGGGTTTCTTTTTTGTTTGTTTTTTACTCACCCTGTATACGGTCCAATGTTCATTAGGGAAGAATTCAAGGGGGGGGGGGGCTAAATTTTCTTTCAGCTAGATTCAAAGAGACCCACCAAAATCACCTCCCCCTCCTTCACTTTCTGAGCGGGAGCACAATAGGGGTGGGCAGGTTATATACAAAGCTAAAGTTACATACAAGATAGGAAATACCAATCAAAAACTGTTTTATTTACAAGTATTCTTCATACTTGTTTTTGTGAGTTATTCTAATTTTATACACAGTGAGAAATCGTCTTCAGTGTACAGGGCGAGTCAAAAAAAACGAAACCCAAACGTCGGGACCATTGTTTTAGTGAATTCTGCATGTAGCACTTTCAAAATCTAGGATATGAAAGCCCAATTCATAAGCTTTCTTTTAGTACAAGACTCATTCAAACCACTCACGTAATTTTCAAGTTACGGAATTTTAAACACAGCCACCGTTTTAAGGTTCTGTCCACGGTTCACAAAAAGGTAAGTGTTCTTTCAGCAAAACGACAATGTGAATTAATTAATGTTGAAAAAGTAAAATTAATTTTTTTATATTCAAAGAACAACAACTTACAATAAATGTGAAGCAGATTATAAAAAAATTTACCTGTTGAAATTTCAGCTCAGTAGATATCATACTTTTTGAGAGAACTGTGAAAAAGCATCTTTATTTTAGCATTGAGCTATCAAACAGTAACCCACAAGCAAACTTCCCGTTGAAAATGAAAGCCTTTCCAAAATTTTTCATTTGGCTTTTTGATTTGCAGTCTGTTGTGGAAGTTGTAGTACATGCATTATCCCCAGTTTGTCACCCCTGGGAAAAATAATTTTAAATTCACGGATTTGCAACGGATTGCAAACTAAACTAAATTCGGTCAGTAAGGGGGATGCAGAATTTGAAGGAAAAAAAAAATTTTTTTTTCGCGAGGAAATAAAGTAATTCCCATTTTCTCGAAAAAGAAAGCATACCAGGCGCAATCGTTTCATATCATTTTGGCAGTTTCGTTTTTTGAACAAAGTAGGCCTAATGAGTTGATTTATTGAAAAGGAATTCCGTTAAGACTCGGTTAAACTAAAACTTGAATTAAACTGTGTAATTTTGTCGTATTCCTCTGAGATACTCAAACCCTGAATGAAAACCTACTCCGTGAAGTTTCAACACACTATTTTGCGTTATAAAAATTCACAAAGTATTTGCTGCTGTTCTGAGTAAATGAGTGCAAAACTGAACAAGCCAAAACAACCTCCAAACTAGGAGAACGAAAAAACACTCTTCTACGGTACAGTGAACGCTTTTAAATACATCTTGGAAGCATTTTTTTCTAGGTTTGTTTCCTTTTTTCTGTTTTGCTTAAGCATTCCTCATCAACCTGCATGATGGCGCCAACACACCATGGGCGGTGGTGGGCCAACTGCCCTGCCTCCAGCGGTCGTAGAAATTTGCAAAGCGAAGAAACGAGCTGTGAATTATTAGAACGATCACGGAGGAATAAAGGCCCTTATTTGGAACAAGATTTGGGAAATTGCGGTATCAAAAGAGGATTGAGAGTAGATACTAAAGCGAGCAGGAAGTGAGTACATGTACACAGTTTTGATTCTCTCCCGTTTCCTCTTTTCATTCACGACTGCAAAGGCCGTTTTCCCCCCGCATTTTTTTCTCTCCGTGCCTTTTATCATGTTTATGTTGTTGACTCATGGTCCACATTCCATTCACAGTGGCAGCCCAGCCAGACAAGAGACACTCGGCCGCTTGGCCAATCAAGCGCGTCGAACGGTATCACGTGGGTTGACCGCAGATGTCAATCACGTGACACATCATTCACCATTGAACCGTACGTGTGTACAGCTGAAACGTGAAGCGGGCTATAGGTAGAGCACACGGGGTCCATCCACGCACGGCTAGCTATCCACCACGCACTGAAGGTACAGTGTTCATTCGATGCAGTGGCCATGCATTGGACAAGCGTGTATGGCCGTCGAGTGCAGCTATAATCCATGGTGCATGTACACACCGTATACATGTCCATGTTGCCAACCCAAAATCGACGTTTATTGCTACCAGAGTAGGGCCAAACGGCGGCGATGTGTCACCCCTAAAGCCCATCAGAGCGACATGTCAGGTGAGGCCCACATATCTTGCCTCTTTCCTGAAATACTGGCGCTCATCTTCAGCTATCTGGACGTGAAAGACAAGGGCCGTGTTGCCAAAGTGTGCCGGTCATGGAGGGACGCATCGTATCACCGGTCAGTGTGGCGGGGAGTGGAGGCCAAACTACACATCCGCCGTACCAACCCGTCTTTGTTCCCCAGTCTGGTGGCCAGAGGGATACGGCGAGTACAGATCCTCAGTCTTCGAAGGAGCCTCAGCCACGTCTTACAAGGTATGCCTCACATTCAGAGCCTAAACCTTAGCGGTTGTTACAATCTGACGGACTTTGGGCTGTCACATGCGTTCGTGCATGAAATACCCACACTGACAGTACTCAATCTCAGTCTCTGCAAGCAAATAACGGACACCAGTCTGTGGAGAATAGCACAATATCTCAAGAACTTGGAATCCCTCGACCTGGCCGGTTGCTGTAACATAAACAACACGGGCTTACTCGTCATCGCGAGGGGGTTGCCTAAACTCAAGTGTCTGAATCTGCGGAGTTGTCGGCATGTTTCGGACGTGGGGATTGGCTACCTGGCTGGCATGAGCAGTGAGGCAGCTAAAGGGGTGTGCAACTTGGAGGAACTGGTGCTACAAGACTGTCAGAAGATCACAGACAGCGCGCTGAGCAACGTGGCGCAGGGATTGCCACAACTACGGAGTCTGAACCTCAGCTTCTGCTGCGGGGTGACGGATTCCGGAATGGTCAACCTGTCCCGCATGCCTAGCTTACGGGAGCTGAACCTCCGGAGTTGTGACAACATCAGCGACATCGGGATAGCTCACTTGGCCGAGTGTGGCGGTCACTTCACGACGTTGGATGTCAGCTTCTGCGACAAGATAGGGGACGCGGCGCTGACCCACATATCTCAGGGAATGTACAATTTGACGAATATCAGCCTTAGCTCTTGCCACGTGACTGACGATGGGCTGGACCGTTTGGTTCGTAACCTGCACGGGCTGACCACGCTCAACATCGGCCAGTGTGTGAAAGTCACAGACAGGGGACTCAAACTGATCGGGGATCATCTGCACAAACTCAAATGCATCGACCTGTACGGCTGCACCAAGATCACTACGGTTGGCCTGGAGAGGATAATGCAGCTACCTTGCCTGTCGGTTCTGAATTTGGGATTGTGGCACAAGAGGTAGCCCATTGCTTGACCCCGTATAGGTGGGCAGATAGGGGAAATATTTGGGGGAATTGTGCCTATGATACAAGCATGGTATTTGGCACACAGTCAGAGTATGACATAAGAAAGATATTTGACTATATAGGGCCATCGCAGATGTGTCCTTTGAAAAAAATATTGGTAGAATAACAAGCAACTTTCACATTTTCAAAATGGCTGTAATTGCTTGTTATTCTACCCATATTTTTTATTCAAAGGACAAATCTGCGATGGCCCTATAGCCGAATATCTTTCTCGTGACATACTCTGACCATGGAGCTAAATAAACTCCATGCTCTGCTCTGACTGCATGTGTGCCAAATTCCATGCTTGAATTCAAAGGCACAATCCCATCGCCTATCAGCCGTACTACTACTTGCAGTCCTATACACAAACCACATGTACAATATGTACATGTATTCAGATGTTTACTGTGGTATACCAAGGCCTTGTATTGTGTGTTGCACGACCTATAGCGCAGAAGGATTTGGTGGTTGGGTTGGGGGGTGCATTTTGAATAGCGAGCGCCCGTCAGAACGACTTGCGGTCACACAATCTATCCAAGCGGGTCAGAGAGCCGCATGCACACCGCACTGCGCGCTCAGTGATCTACGTGCAGCGAGCCGCCTGTTCATTGTCATTTTGCAAAGAACCGCTGGAGGCAATTCATGAGGGAAAACCTCGCTCGGTGTTAATAATATGCTTGGAATATGGTGGGTGCCTGCCACGGCAGTATCCCTTCCCAATCTTAACCCAGGGATTACTGGGCCCTTTTGACAAGTGAATGCTATGCACTTCCTGCCCTCTGAAAGGCGGGGTGCGTCTGGGTCAAATTCCGCCATATTCCCCCAACAAGGTTGAACGAACGATATACGTACACCATATAATTATGTTAAATCACCTGACGCTGTTGAGTTTTACCACTAGAAGTTACTATTATAACACAACTACGCGTTTGATATCCATAGACAACTTTTCCAATGTTTGATAATAATTTTGTTGAAACTTAAAGGTCAATAATTGAAATGGTACATTGTTATTTTTATCTTAGTGTAAACAAATAATTGGGAAGGTCAACACGATCATTCTTTTTTTAATTTTAATGTAAAATTATATTAAAAGTGGTTAAAAGTTGGGTGTGCTCCTTTTTCAGTGAAGTGGGAACATTTGCAGCGAACTACTATCTCTGCATTTTTAGTGACGAAAAAAAATAGAGCGCGGTAAATGGAACGAGGGGACAATACGCGTTATGTGGCGATGGTGTCGTTATTAACGCCTTGCCGCCCATCGCTCTTTTTTTAGATTAGCGCCAAGAGTCCGTAGGCACGCTGCTGGGCTTTTGAGGGGGGACCGTGTATCCACGCCGTGCAACCCCCACCTGACACGGTGGGCTAGCAGCCAGGCTTCGCGCTCTGTGGATCACGGCGCCCGGAGACACGGCGAGGCTCGTCACGCTGGTTTCCTTATACCATGCTTTGGCTGCCTTATTCTCGCTCCCCCTCATCCATCCAGTTTGATAAAGAAAAAAAAAGAAGGGAAAAAAAAGCCCCAGGGTCGGTTGTAAACTAGGGTCTTTCCAGTTCAGCGTGGTCCGTATAACACTGCGCCACTGATATTTTTTAATTCCATCTGCTGTGCCTATAGACCAGACAAGGAAAAGAAATGGTCGAGCGTGGTGTGAATTTTGGCGCTCGCGATAAAACCCCACGGGGATTAGACCCAATTTTTATTAATGAGCTGACATTATGCATTCTCGTGCAGTACTGGTGAATGTGCCACTATGAATGTTTGATGTCGAGTTCTTCAATGACCTCAAATATAATGTAATCGTCAAAACTATTTTTTTCTTATACAAAATGTTCGTTCCCTGTGTCACACATTTTGAATTGTATAAATACAACTTTGACGTGTATATTGAATTGTTGGACCCCGATTTTAAGTTTCTATTCCTTTAATATCAGATTTTAATCCAGAAAATGTTTCACTGTCTGACAATGGTTTGGTATCTTACATGTCCATGTTATATTATTGACAAAGTACGAAACAGTACAGCCAGCTTTTAATATTTGGCAAAAAATACGGGGATTTCCCTTTTTGACACCTCTGGCTGAAAAAGAAAAATCCAAATTTTCTAACATGCATTTCGCTTTACAAACCTGGGATTCGTAATCTTACAAAGATTTACTCTAGATTGACATTTTATTTAGACCCTTATTAAGGTCTCCTGTTGTCTCGAAAATTGTTATGTTTTCCCTGTCTTTTTCCTGTTCTCGGCCGTATATAAAGGTCACACAGTATATGCAATCTACGGCTGAACAAAATAAATATATAATTTGGTGATAATAAACATAATTCCTTCAGATATTTGTCAATAAGATTTTAATATCAGCTAAGATGTTTTAGATTTCGCAAGGCCCGCTAATTTGCTTCAAACCATGCTTGGGACATTACAATCGGAGGAAAAAGCCGTTGCAGTAAACAATGAAGTGGTGTTAACAAAACAAAGGGTAATATGAATGTATACACGTACTATGGGGAACACATACGATAATAATATTACGACATATATAATGGGCTGTACATTGTATTTCATGTATTTAATATCCAGGTAAAGGACCGTAAAATAATGTGAAAAAAGAATTTGCATTTTGCCACAGCGCCATACAAACTGGTGCCGTCATCTTAAAACCGACGAATATTATTCCATTGATTTTAAAATACAAAGTGTATTGATATGGCTGGAAGAGTATTTTCCTATAAAATAAATAAAACGGTTAACCAGAAAAAAATGCGTTCGTTTATTTGTTTCATTTTTGACTTTCTCTGCAAAAAAAGAAGAGTACTGCATCAGTCGTCGGATACAGGAGAGACATGCCCTCTGGCTTGCTGTGAATTCACCGCAAGGTGATGCGCGTTAAAGTGCATGTGTGTGTGTGAAGTCTTCTGAAAACTTGTTTTTGAGAGTAAAAATTGGTCGGAAGGTATTTTTATTTTACTGCATGTAGCCATTTCTTTTTCATACGTTTAGGGAGCATAGGTTGTATACTATCCAGTATGGGATGTCGCAAAGAAAATGATTGACGTCTGTACTTCCGTGTGCAGGATCAAGACCAGGAATACAGCGTGAGACCTTTTCATGATTTTATTGCGAAGTTAGCTTTAAGTTGGAAGAACATGCTGTGTGGCGATATTGCTTTCATGTCAACTGGTCCCTGATAAACAAATACGAACTCTTGAAACACTTAACTTGAATTTCAAAAACGCTTTCGGGCGAACTTTTTAAAATTGAATGTTATATGGAACTCGGGACGGTTTATTGACCCCTGAAGTTGTAAAGACGGTATACACACTTATTATACTCACTTTGGAAGGTATAAGCCGTTGCCTTTAATGTCATAAGGGACTTACATTTGCGTACACACCAAGTACATGTACATGTATGATTATACAAGTACATGTACATGTAGTGCAAAACTGACCAATTCAACATTGCAGATTGACAATCTTCTGTGTCTATGCAAAAAAAGAATAGTGTACCATTTCATGATGAAAAACAACACTATCATTAAATTCTTTTTATTTTAGCGTTTGCTTGTGATAAAGTGGTCTTCCAAATCCGTTTCACATAAAAAACCCAAATGTTATACTATTGATTTATAGCATTACAAAAATATATGGCTGTCCGTCGTGCTCCGACGATGACTGATGGTGCCAATGGCCCCACGACCTCATGTGAAGTATAGCCGATTCTATTGAAGCTGCGTTCGTACCCAGATCAATAGCAGAGCCCACATTAAAGACATATGACTATGGAGTAACTACTGAAGATGTTTATCAATGTAAAGCTTAACTTCAAGGAAAGTCCGAAGGCCCGAGACTGGAGATTGTCGCTCTTTCATAGCATAGGACGCAGAAACAAAACTGTTATGCATTGGGACAGGGCTCTGAAACAACACTCTCTGTGTACGATACATGTAAAAACAATGATCAGCAAGGCAAGTACGTTAAACCCCTTTAATTGCACATTCCTTGAACTTCAAAGCTCTGTTTCTATTTTTGTTTACAGAAAACCTTTTTTTTCACGAAAAGCACCCGCTGGATTGGTTTCGATAAACGGCGTAGACGTTGTTCAAGTCGGCGTCTGCTTAGAAGTCGGGAAGGCCAAGTCTTTTGGCTGCTCTATCGGCCAAGGCATCACCATACGAAACTAGAACCCAAAGTTGGTATTGTAATCTTTATAATCACAAGTTCAGCCGCAATGTCGCAAGTATTTGGTTCACTGTGTATACAGTCAGGTACAATTAACAGTAGAAGTCGAGTGAGACTGGAAAGGAGGCTAACTCCTTTCAGAACTCCGTCTCTCTTGAACATGACCTTGTAATATGGGATCAGGAAAAAGCGCGCATTCCATGCCAGCCGCACGCCCAAATGTCACTAACCCTTGGGGGCCTAGCCGGGGTTCGGTTTCGATTCCCGCGGCGGTGCAGCTACAAAAAAGTCACCGCCGTTCGCTCATAATTCACAGCCCAACAGAGAGTTTATTGTGACTCGCATGGAAAAATCCTTACAGAGACTTAATAATAAAACTTGGGTTTCTTAAAATGACATGAGATGTGGCCTGAAAAAAAAATGTGGCTTGAAAAAGAGTGTCCCATACTGCGGAACATGCTGTAATATAAATCTACAGCAACTGCACAGAATGAACATGGCTGGCATAATATACGTACATGACATTTGTACACAAAGGCTGTTTGGTTTCCACAAAAACGTTACGGAATGGAAAATAGCCTTGTAAAATAACGTTTATTTCAGTACTTCAATCGGTTTTTTGAAAAGTTTATCTTAATAAAGAAAGCGCACAGCTTACGTTTCATACTCGAGATCTCTCGCTGGCACGAAACAGCCGTAGATCCCTAAAAAAAAGTCACCGCTGCGTGACAATAGTCTTTTTACTAAGACGTGGAAAGCAGTAGTTGATGAATCCACAGTGAAACGCAGTATAATATAGAAACAGATGTTGTTTGTTGAAATGTATTTCTAAACAATAATATTAAAGCAGAAGCCTTCAAGCCTCCAGATAAGTAATTTGACAGAAACAAA